ATGCTAAGGATTCCCTATACGATATGGGATCCCTACATCATTTGCGGTGTTTTCCTTAGTTGAGGGGCATTGCGCTCTGACTCTTGCGAGCTCCTTTGAGAGCAAAGCCTGGCGATCTTCGGGGATTCTACGCGAGGGGGGCCTCAGGAGGTGGATTCCGTGCTGAAGCTCCGGTGAGAGTAGGATAGAGGTTTTTCTTGGAAAAACGATGAGAAGAAGAAAAGATAATGTTGTTGAGCCGGCTCTTCCGGTACTAAGCTTGTACTACAAATCAATGAAAAATCCAGCCGGGTCGCGGAAACGTCGATTCCAGTACTGAGCTTGTACTACAAATCAATCGCACCTCAACACCTGCCGAGAAGGCAGTCCTTGGGGCGGGGCTGTTCTTCAAGCTGCCGCGGCTCTCTCGGACAGCCTCTGGTGCCCGGGCGCTCCTGACAAGAGTTTCCCCAAAAACTCCACAGGTCCATCGTTTGGGGTTTAGGGTTTAGGGTTTGGGGTTTAGGATGGTTTAGGGTTTGGGGTTAGGGACATCGTTTCGGGGTTGCAACCTCTCAAGCCCCGCAAATCCCTAGGTCCACTCCCACGTCTTGAGGGGCTTGATGAGTTCCATGCCTCAGCGCCCCCTCGGAAACCACAGCCGCCTTTTAACACGCACACTAACACGAACACGAACGCCGACGCGAATACTAACGCGAACGCTAACGCTAACCCTTGCCCTAACCCACTACCACTGCCACTACCACTACCACTGCCATTGCCACTGCCACTGCCACTACCACTACCACTACGACGACGACGAGGACTAGACCGATCAGAATGAGAGGAATGAGGCCGAGAAAGTGCTCATCATTATATCAACCCTTGCACCACAACGGCCCTTTTTGGCCTTGGACTGGAGCTTCGCCCCTGGCTGCTTCTCCTGCGTTTTCAAAAGCCGTGCGGCGGGGAGGGGCGGATTCAGGGTTGAGGGATTGGGTTGCACCCTGCAGCTATCTGAGGGCTATGGGATACGTTTTCAGATTTTTGTTCTTTTTTGGGGGGGTTCCTGAAAAAGGATTGTCATCACATGTTTAGGGCATTAGGGGCCCTGTTCTGGACCCTTTTAAAGCAAGGTCTTCGGGATGCCTTAATAACCCCAAACCTTAAAACCCTAAACCCTAAAACCTTAAAACCCTGAACCCTGAACCCAGCTGCTGTGGTTGCTACCGAGCTCTTCTTGTCGAAGGGAATCCTCCATAACATCCCAGCTGCCAAAAGCTCAACCCAAAGAGCCCCTTGAATGCTAAAGGCTCAACCCAAAGAGCCCAATGTCCCTTAAGTAAGGAGCATACCTGACATTATGACATCCTTAATCTGATTTAAGGGTAATATTCATTCGGTACCCTAAACCCCAAACCCCAAACCCCAAACCCCAAACCCTAAACCCTAAACCCCAAACCCCAAACCCTAAACCCTAAACCCTAAACCGTGAACCCTAAACCCTAAACCCCTCGTTCCTTAACTAGGGGGTCCTGGGCTCTCTGGGAAAGCCCTACTCGACCCGCGACGGAGACAGAACTGCGCTCCTCGATGCCCTCCGTGAAGTGTCTGCAGCTGCGACAGCTGCCTCGCGGTTTAGGGTTTAGGGTTTGGGTTTAGGGGTTAGGGGTTAGGGTTTAGGGTTTAGGGTTAGGAAGGCTTAAGGGGGTTTTGCCACCGGCTTCGCATGGTCCCAGAGAGCCCAGTATACCGACCCTGAATTAAGATGACATGACCTGAAATCATATTAAGGATCCCTAGAATGTTTAGGGCTTATTCACGTTTAATTCCTTATTTAAGGGGGCTTTTGGGGCTCTTTGGGGTTGAATTCGGGACAAAACAAGCCCAGAAAGCCCACTATTTGGGGATCCTTCCGATGGTTTGTAAGGTATATACCTTGAGATGATATGTAGGGATCCTGAAGAGGCTTTTGAGGTATATACCTTGAAATGATTGGGGATCCTTAAGAGGATTTAAGGTGCCTTCCTTCTATAAGGGAGACAGTGCACACGAGGAATGATTGCTGCTGGTGATGCAAGCTGCCGCTGCCGCTCACCCTAAACCCTAAACCCTGAACCCTGAACCCTAAACCCTAAACCATAATTTCGACGGCCGGTGCTTGCGGTGCTTCTCAAACCTGAATCTCATGGACCTTCCGACCCTAAACCCTAAACCCTAAACCCTAAGGCTTCCAGTGCCTCTTCCGGCTGGGGCGCCTCCGATGGACGCCGGCTCGCTGTGGGACCTCGGTGCCCCCTTTAAGGTTCTGTTGGGTTTAGGGTTTAGGGTTTAGGGTTTAGGGCTTAGGGCTTAGGATTTAGGGTTTAGGGATTAGGGTTTAGGGTGTAGGGTGTAGTGTGTCGGGTGGAGGGTTTAGGGTTTCGGGTTGAGGGTTTGCAAAGGGCATCATCGGATATCTCAGCGTTCGGTGTGGGAATTCATGGGAAGCGTTGGGATGATAGATCCGGGGTTTCGATTCGCCCTCGTGGTTTCTTCTGGCAGGCATGAAGGATGGGCACGCGCGTGCACTCGGTCTCTGATGAACTGCAAGGATAGCTCGGTCAATGGTGCAACTCTTCCATATTCTTCCCCGGCCACTTCTCGCTCCAAGCTGCTGTTGAAAGGACTCCGCTTCCGTGCCCCACTGCTCGCCTTGGATACTGTGGAATGAGGGTGAGAGAGCTTCTGGGAAGCTTGAGGGAGTTTTAGGGCTTTTTTTGGGTGCTTCCAGGGGCTGGAGGGTGTGGTGTTTCTGAGGAAAGCTGTTCGTGAGCCACGCGCCGTTCATTGTCTGTAGTCTGTGCACATCTCGACTGCTCAGCTTCAGCCGATTCATCGGTGAAAACTTGTCCCAGCACGTCCCAGTGCTTTTTCTGCCAGGTGGCCCTGTCTTATGGGCCCTGATAATGGAAAAAGAAAAATGCAGGTACATTCCTTGGAAGATCAGGAAGGATACCCACATGGGCCCTGTACTTCTATGAGGACCATGACCAGACCCACCGAAACTGCATTGAGCCAAGGGGGCATCTCGTGACGCCGAAGCCGACGAAGCACGCCGGCCTTTAGCTTTGCACGTGGTGCCCTCCGTGAGTGTCTTTTCTTTGGGTTTAGGGCTTTTTGGGCTTTAGGGTTTAGGGTTGGGATGTTCCTCCTTGTACTAACAGTCCTTCATAGGGACTATAGTACCCCTACTACAATCCCTATCAAGGACTGCTAGTATAAGGGGGAACATCCCAAGTTTAGGTTTGCAAGAGTGCCGGAACAAAAACCCTAAACCCTAAACCCTAAACCCTAAACCCTAAACCCTAAACCCTAAACCCTAAACCCTACACCCTAAACTTAAGCCCTAAACCCCAAACCCCAAACCCCAAACCCTAAACCCTAAACCCTAAACCCTAAAGGATTCAGCGCAGCTCTTCGGGCCTGCGTCCCCTGCGCTCGCCGCACGCGGTGAGGAGGACGATGGCCGCCGGCTCGAAGGCAGTGGCGGGGCCCCGGTGGCTTCGATGATGCCTGGGCTTATAGGGTTTGGGGTTTAGGGTTTAGGGCCAGCCTTGTCTTGAGGGTTTCAAGCTTCAGGATTCTAGCAAATGCTGACAGGGCTTTGTCTGATCAGTTTTGTTCATGTGCACTGGTGCTATCGTGGAGCGATGGTGCTGTCACGTTCCCGTCACAGGAAGTAGCATAGCACGGGTTCAAAGAAAGGATTCTAGAAAAACAGAGCGAAGGGTCACCCCTTCTTAAGTTGCAATCAAAAGGCCCCTGTCTAACTTTGAAGGGCCGGCTCGAATTGCAGCACAAGGCTAAGACTATGAGGGCAGCCGACACGTCTTTAGTTGACACCTAGATCCAAGCCTGCACATGTTCTTGAACCTAAACCCGAACCCTATACTCCAAAAACAGTCGTTGTTGGTCGGTGCAGTTGTGCTGCCCCCTCGTGTACGGGAGCTGTCGTTCGGAGCTGCGAAGCTGAACGTTGCACATCACAGTTCAAAACCCTAAGCCGCGCGCTCACCATCCGAACATCTCCACCCCTCTTGCCTCTTCGAGCAACACTTTCATAGCGACTAAACCCTCTAACCCTGTAAACCCCTATGAACCCTCTAAACCCTCTAAACACGCGTTCCCAAGTTCCGGACTCAACTTGGGGCTAAGAACAATAGAAGCGGACGAGAACGTGACGGCCAAAAACAGCCTCTTCGTACTATAGTTACATAGCGACTACACCTGTTAATGTCAATTACAAACCCTTTGAACCCCTAAACCCTGTAAACATATAGACTTTAAACCCTGTAAACCCTCTAAACCCCACAAACCCTCGAGTTCTTGGGACTGATGAATCGACCCGGTGGCTGGAGCGGTGCTGGACGCCTGGCGGCTTCGAGGTGCGACCGGAGCTCTTCTAGGTTCGGGTCTAGGGGCCTAGGGCCTAGGGGCTTAGGACGGGGCTAGCTTAGGGCTTCGGGTCGGGCTTAGGGATTAGGGGCTTAGTGGCCTAGAGGTTTGGTTTCGGGCTTAGGGGGTTTCGGGGCTTAAGGGTTTCAGTGGAGGTTTAGGGGGGCTTACAGGCTTAAGCGGCTTAAGGGTTTCGGGGTTTCGGGGGGATTTAGGTGCTTAGCGGTTCAGGGGCTTGAGGGTTTCCGGGTTTAGGATTTTCGGGGCTTACGGGCTTTCTAGGGGTTCAGGTGACGCCGGAGGGCTAAGTGACTCAATGCAACCTGGATGGTGCCGGCGAGCAGGGTTAGCAAGTGGGGGACTGTGTTTTTCGGGTTTTTCTGGGTTTCAGAACTGCCTGTTTTGCTTTGTGCATCCGGACTCTACTTGCCGGGACGATGCCCTAAGAAGGAAGGCAAGCCAGTCCGCTGTAACATACTAACATAGGGGCCTGCAGAATTAGAATAGGGTTTTGGGGGGGTTCTTCTACTCTAACGTTATAGGGTCCATAAGGGAATACCAGTAGTAATTCCGACCCCTATATACTAGCTATGATAGGCCTGCAGCATGTGCCCAGCCCGACCCGACAGGGGCCTTGCGGCTTGTTCAGCGCCTTGACCAGCTCGCTCAACTCCTAAAAACGCGTGAGCTTGGGCCTAAACCCTAAACCCTAGCTTCAGGGATGTGGGTTTTTGTGCACAGAATCACAGGATTAGCGCTCTTGCTGTGGCCTGGGACCTTCGACTCTTCCTGCCGCTTGCTTGGAGGTGGTTTAGGGTTTAGGGTTTAGGGTTTAGGGTTGAGGGGTGCATGGGTAGTTATAGGGTAATAAGTATAGTGACCATACTGACCACCCTACTTGGAACTACCCATGCTCCTCCAAGTGTTCGAGCGCTTTTGCGAGGGCGTTCGGGCAACTCCTCCGACTTGCGGTCCAGGAGCCGGGGAATCAATCCAGACCAAACCCGAAATCCAAAAAGAAGCCTTCTTGCGAACTACTAGCAAGGACCCTAAACCCTAAAACTCCCTAAACCCCCTAAACTCTCTAAACCGCAGAATCTTCCCCCCCCCCTTAAGCCTCCAGCCACTTGAAAAGCCCTAAAACTCCCTAATCTTGCCCTCACGTCTGATCATCCGGGGCTCCACTTTGCCATTCTCGTTCGTGTCCATGGCATCGGTGAGTTGCTGCAACAGGGCATCCGACCTTAGGGAAAGGTCACAAAAAGAAATGATCGAGGCCCAGGCGCAAGAGGCCTGTCCCCTTCTGCCACAAGGGCGTGTCGGTTGGGATGTTCCCCCTTGTACTAACAGTCCTTAATAGGGATGATTATGTATAAAAAAAAAATATATATATATATATATATATTGGGTACGAAAATCCCCATTCAGGGCGGTTAGTATAAGGGGGAACATCCCAACGTGTAGGCATGAGGCTGGGCAGACGATGCCAAACTCCCAACCCCGAAGCCTGCGTCAGCCCGAAGACCTAAGCCATTCAAGCCTTGCCTGACAAAAAAACACAACTCCGCACTTGCCCCAAAAAGCTTTAACCCTAAACTCTCCCCCCAAAACAAAATCTGAAATTCCTAAAGCCCTAAACCCCAAAAAACCTGAAGTCCTGGACCGATTGAATTGACACCCTACCACTGATCTCTTATTCTTACACCCTAAACCCTAAACCCTAAACCCTGTCCCCCCTACCACGCCGTGTGGCACGTTCACCCCCAGGCGGCGGAAGCCTCGCTGGACCTCCGAAGGATCCAGGGAGCCACTGCCGTCCTCTTCAAAGCATTCCGAGTTCACAATGTACGTATCTAAAAATATACATTAATAAAGAAACAAATAAAAAAAAATATATATATATATATATATACAGATGATGATGATGATGATGATGAAGATGACGATGACGACGATGACGAAGACGACGATGATGACGATGATGGTGATGATGATGACGATGATGATGATGATGAGGAGCGCTTCGCAAGGCCTAAGGTTTAACCGAGGCGAGGAACAACAATCATTTTACTACACCCCCTCACCCCCCCCCCCCCCTGGTTCCCCCCCATATTTAAGGCAGTTTTAAGGATAATTGAGCCTAATTAAGGTTATTCAAGGGGGAGAACCTAGGGGGGTTAGTAGGGAAACCCATGAAACAAGCAGGATCCCGCCATTGAGTTCTTAACTTCAGCGCCGCGCAGCCAGAGGGTTCAGGGTGGGCTTCACAGGGAAAACCCTAAACCCTATTTTTTGGAACCCAAACCCTAAACCCTAACCCCTAAGCCCTAAGCCCTAAACCCAAATGTTGAGCCTAGTCCGAGATCAACTCCAGTTCAAGGCTCATGGATGATCACGGGTGTACATGGTTTACAGGGTCGTCACTTCACGGTTCAAGGGTCTTGTTCCTCCACCGCCAAAGAAATCAAACGCCGCAGGCCACGTCTGTACACTGTACATCATTCTGCAGTTGCGATGCCTTCGGCATGCGTGCAACCTCGACGACATCTGGACTTGTTTTCTTACGGAATTGGGCAGAGCCGTGCCTGCACCAAAAGCATAGTCGCATCTACAAGTAGCTCCCGGCTGCTTCCGTTCAGAGTCGCTGTGTGACAACAAAACTGTCATTGGTCCATGGTCCACATCCAAGTGGCAGACAGTGCATCACTACATACTTGCAAACCAGCACTAATTACGTCACGTCACGTCCCTCTCACGGAGTCCCTTTCAGGCTGCGGGGGTTGCGTCCTCGCTGCGAAAGCAGCCGCACGATGCGCATGTCGCCATACTTGGCGGCCACGACCACAGGTCGTTCGTTGAGAGCGCCACACCTCTTCCTAGGATGGCTTTAGAACCTCTTAAAAATGTTCCTGGATATGGTCCTCTTAAACCCAAAACAAGGGAAATATGAAATATCCCAAGGGCCTAGCTAGCTTCTCTCCATCGGCTCCGGCCTCCAGAAGGAGACGGACAATCTCCTCGCGGCCCTTGCGGATTGCAGTGCTCAGAGGGGTCTCGTAGTCAAGCACCTGCTCCTTGTCAACGCCATTCTCCAACAGCAGTTGCACCATCTCTGTGTGACTGCGCGAGATGGCTGCAATGAGGGGAGTTTCCTCACCACAAGCCTTGTTGGTATCAGCAGCAGCCCCAAGAAGCAGGCGCGCAACCCCAAGATGGTTGCTTCTGACCGCTGCGTGCAATGGTGTCAATGCTTCTACGCCACATGCCTGGTTTTGGTCAGCCTGGGCAGCAAGCAGCAGGCGCACCACCTCCGAATGGCCACTGTGTGAAGCCTGGAACAAGGGAGTTTTGCCTTTCGGGTCAAACTTGCTTTGATGTGAGCGCAGGTTGACTTTCGCGCCTGCAGACAAGAGCAAGCGCACGACCTCATCCTGGCCCTTGGCCGCTGCTGCACCCAGCGGCGTCTCAGGCCAGGCAGAAGTGAAAGGCTTCTGGAGGAAGGCTCGTGCGTCCGGATCTTGAGGCAGCTGCAGCATCCCCTCAACCTCTGCAACAGAGCCTGCTTCCGCAGCTCGCACGAATCGGTACCTCTGATGGAAATCTGCATCAACAAAGGGGCGCTGCACAACGAGCTGCAGCTCACCGGCCGACTCCAAGTGCTGGCCATCATCCCAAATCTTGCCGTCACAGAGCAGCCTCAATCGGAACCCATGCAACTCGCAGCGGTCCAAGAGGAATCTTTTCAAGCCTCCCACAGTCGCGAACTTCCCAACAGGAACGGCAGCCACCTCCTCTCCGGACATTCGTCGGACGTGCAGCATGCTCCGTATGGCTCCCTGCCAAGCCCAGCAAGTTTGGTAGCAGAATGGGATGGAGAGTTGGCTTGAGAGGAACAGCTGCAAACGCCTGCATCTCAGAATGTATCATCCACACAACTTCGCCAGAAACCAGGCTTGTGCTCCAGGCTAACTACGACCATGCCAGCTGTGACATATTATGGCTGTATTGCCAATCTGCAACCCAAACAGGGGGCATGCTCACTTCAGGGCATGCTCCAAAAGCCTTCCACATCGCAGGTCCAGACGCAACCATAAGAACCGGCTGGATGGCCAGGACCGCCACAAACCCCTAGGCCCCTAAGCCAACAGCCCTTCCCAAAAAAAAGCGCAGATCCTTGTCGATGGCCTTGAAGAAGCCTCTGTTTGCAGCTTGCAGGACTCAAGACGCTTCAAAAAATCAGGTTCCTCTGCTCTGCCCTACAGGGTTTGGGTTTCAGGCTGCGGCGGCCTTCGTGTCCTGCACCCTCAACCCTAACACCGAAACCACCAAACCCCAACCCTAAAAACCAGACCTTCGCCTGATGAGCCTAAGTAGCCGGGTGCATCCGAGCTGCTGTGAGCATCGTGGATCTTCCGCCCATACACCTGCGGCTTTGCAGCAGGTCAGGTTCAGCGCTGAGCAACTTAGGCTAGGTTCTCCAGGGGCTTGTGCGGGAAAGAGCAATTGAAGGCACACCGTTTCTTCTATTTGCTTCAGAACCCCCGCCCCCCCCCCCCGCCCCCCCTTGTCATTTCTTTCAAGGGTAATTTCGGGAATATTGTCTGTTATTACTTTTAGTATTACTATGTTTTTTTTTTTTTTTGGGGGGGGGGGGGGGGGGGCGGGGGGTTCTTAAGCAAGTAGTTGTTCAAGGCTTAGGGTTTAGGGGGCTTCGGAAGCCAGGAAGCCGAGAGCTTGCCCGATTGCAAGGCCACGTTGACCTGCTGCAGCACGTCGCTGATGGACATGTCCTGGGGACTGTCCTGGGCCAACAGCGCCAGCTTCTACTTGGAGCATCTTGGAGCGTGAAACCTTTCATATCCCATAGCGCTTGTAGGGTTTATAGGGCTCATCCCAAAACCCTTTATGCAAGACACGCTTACACAAGTACTCCAAGCCCAGAAGCTGAATCAGTTCCCTACACCCTAAACCCTAAACCCTGCACCAGTTCTTACCTTTCCATTTTTCCCCCCGTGTCTCTAGCATTGCCTCAAACTCCAACACCTCCAAGAAGCCATCTATCTCCCTGTAAGGAGATGCATTGGGATGTTCCCCCTTATGCTGACAACAGCTCCTTAGTAGGGGCTATAGTACCCCCTACTATAATCCCTATTCAGGACTGCTAGTATAAGGGGGAACATCCCAGGAAATGCAGCATACATGGCCATATTTACTTTCACAACGACAAGAAGATGTACCAAAGAAACCATGTTCATAACCCTAATCATCATCGTGCCTTGGGGACCTGACCCCTAGAAGGGTTTACGGTTCCAATAGGACATATTGTAGTATAGGGTATATGACCCCAATGTTAGGGTTCATGTGGGCATCCACGGCCACTATTTGCTTAAGAACCCCCCAACAACGATAATAATCCCTATATTTCCCGTGTAGGGAAGAATATTCTTTGTTCTTTGGGGGTTCTGAAGCAATAGTAGAAGGTTAACAATCCCTATACTACACTTATAAGGAACAATCTTCTCGGTTTTTTAACTAAGCATAGTAGATTGGAATGTTCCCCTTATACTAACAGTCCTTAATAGGGATCATAGTACCCCCGATTACAATCCCTATTAAGAAGCTGTTAGTACAAGGGGGAACATCCCAAGAATAATCCAAGGTAAGTGCGTCCTCCGCGCCCCCACACACACCCTAAACCCTAAACCATAAACCCTAAACCCTAGTTAAACCCTAAACCCTAAACCCCAAACCTAAACCCCTAAGACCTTCAGGTTATTTAGGCGCCCTCCCCTTCTGGGCGACCCGACGGCCCGCATCACGCGCTGCGCAGCCGCCTCCAGGGCATCCAGCGCCGCCTCCGCAGGGTATGTACGGAGGGTTAGGGTTTAGGGTTTAGGGTTTATTGAAATTATTCAGGGTTCAGGTTCGGGGAAGTTTCGAGGAAAGTTTCGGTTTTTGAACTTCTGAATAATTTCAAGTTACAGGGGGCTTGAGGGTTGAGGGTTTAGGGTTGTGCTCCCGCATAGCTGGCCGAACAGCAGGCAGGGTTGATGGTACTGTTCTGGGAAAGAAACGGAGAAGTGGTTTAGGTTTTTTTGCCACCTGCCTAGCAGTCTCGCAACCACACTGCGGGGATGCAAATGTCCGTCGATCGTGAGAAGATTGGGGGAAGTCTTGAGGGAAAAAGGAGTTCAGATGTCATTGCCTACATGAGGCCACCCTACGAGCATGACGATTCGATCCAAGCCCCAAACCACAACCACATAACCATAGGGTATAGGGTTTAGGGTGTAGAGTTTTGGGTTTTGCGGTTACGGGGAGTGGTTTTGGCGACGCAGGGTAGTAGGGTTGCAGGCGAGCGGGAAATGAAACAAAAGACAAGCCTTGCCAGGACATGCGGCTGCTAAGCGTCTCAGCACTCCTCAACTCCCATCCACAACCCTGTAAACCGCATAGACACAAGCGTAAACACCCGTATGGGATCCCCCCCAGCCCCCGCGCCCCTCCCCCCAAACAAACATAAAAAATCATCAGAATAATAAGAATGATCATCATCATCATCATAAGAAGAAGAAGAAGAACAAACAGCTCGGACCTGCAATAAGTTGTCAGGGGGTGTGCCTTCTTGACACGTCGGTCGAGCTCCTTCACGCTGATGGAGCCACTACCTGGTTTCATCTCTGTTACTGGGTAGTTTGTTTCATGAGTCACAATCAGAGTACGGCTTGAGGGTTTAGGCAGTTTAGGGCTTAGGTTTAGGGTTCTACTGACAGCAAGAGTTAGATGGATAGTTGCTTCAGGCTCCGGTGGCAGTGCTCAGTGGGGGTGGGGTCGTTCAGGATGTTTGGCATTGGGACCAGCATTTAGGACTCGGAAATTATAGTGTTTCCGCTGCCGGTGCTCCTCACTTAAGTTCTTGCCCGCTGCCGGTGCTCCTCACTTAAGTTCTTGCCCGCAGTAGTGTCGCATATCTTGGCTAAAGATCTGAAACGCAAAACGACATGATTGGAGAAGGGCCGATTGCAACTGTGAGCTCCAGTCGTCGCAAGACCTAGTCGCGCTAACCCTCACCCACCCACAGCCCAGCTGCCGAACCAGCTAGGGCTTGGGGGGCTTTGTGGGGCTTGTTACATGCAGCTCATAAAGCGGCTGCTATGGGGCAGAGAGGGTTTGTATAGGGTTCAGGGGGCCCTAAACCCTAAACCCTAAGCCCTGAACCCTAAAAGCCCTAAACCGGCTCTAACCCCCCAAAGCTTCTCAAGCGCATGGTTAAGAGCCCGGCCATCCGCATCTAGAAGCTCGCTGAGGGCCTCCAGCTCTTCGCCGCTGATCTCGTAGCCCAGCTTGAAGAGTCCTCTGGACTAACCCTAAACCCTAAACCCTGAACCCATAAGCCCCGACTGGCAGTTCTCTGAGTTGATGAGGCTCTAGTCTCGACCGAATATTCCCCCAGCCACCCTCAACCCTCAAACCTCCCAGAAATAGGGGGGAGCCCGAAGAGCCCAATGCCGCTTAAAAAGGAACTTGGGGGTGAGGGCCTGGGACGAAAGCTAGTTAAGGTACCCCCACGGAAGAGCTTCTGTCAACAGGGCATCCACTACACCACAACAGATGTTGCACTCACCAGGCGAAGTCTGAAGTCTGTCCAATCCAGCTTTGAGGGACGCCGGACTCAAATCAACATCAAGGCTTCTGAGTCTTTTCTTGGGGGACTTGGGGGGCTTTTCTAGGGCCTGGGATCCACAGAAAACGGCGTTCATTTGCACCCAATATACGAAAGAAATGAACGCCAGCCCGTTTCCCCAAAACCTGTGTTTGCCCACCGGAAACCGACCGGGTTTGCTGCGTTTCGTGGCGGAGCCTCCGGGGGCCCTGTATACCCATCAGATTGTAAGCTTCGCTTAAGCAAGATACTCCGCTAGCTCCTCAGGGGCTAGCTTTCGTGATCTACCTGAAATTTCGTCGGGTTTAGGGCTCCTTAGTGTGATCTAAGGTATATTCCTTCATTAAGGGGTATTGGGCTCTCTGGAAGGTTCCCTGAGGACTAAACGAACCCGAAAATTTGGGGTCATAATGCCCTAGACTACTATAAGTCCTTTTGTGGGTGTATGAACCATAAACACTTCCCTAAACCCTAAACCCTTTTAGCGCACGAATTTGGTCTGCAAGGTTCCTGTTCGGAGCTCCGCGGGCGTGAGCTGGGCGTCGCTATCTCCTGGGCGTGGGCTTCTGGTCCCAAGACACCCCATATGCCCCATATGCCCCTAAACCCTAAACCCTAAACCCTAAACCCTACACCCTAAACCCTAAGCCCTAAACCCTAAACCCTAAACCCTAAACCCTAAACCCTAAACCCTAAACCCTAAACCCTAAAGCCTAAAGCCTAAGCCCCTTCAATAAAGAATAGGCCTTAAATCAAAATTTCGGATCCCTCAAAACCCTCTCATCCTCGAAATGATTTCAAGATCTGTTGCTTAATTAAGGGGGTCTAGGGTGTAGGGTTGGGATGTACTCCCTTATACTAACAGCCCTTCATAAGGATGATACTACGGGGTACTGTAATCCCTGCTAAAGACTATACGGGGGAACATCCCAAGTTTAGGGATTAGGGTCGGGCTCCGGGTGCCGATGCTAGGAGTTCCTTTAGGTGACCAAATGAGCCCAAAAAGTTCATCTTGCCTATAATAGGAAGTATAATGGTACAGGGTATATGGGTTATGGGATTAGGGCTTAGGGTATATGACCCCAATTTTAAGGTTCATTTGGGCCCAGTGTTCTGGTCTCATGTTCATAATGTCTTTGTGGGGCTGGGATACGGCGGCGATGTAGGGGTGGGGAAGAGAGTTGAGGGTTTAGGGCGGCGGGGCGAGTGGCCTTGGAAACTTGAGGCAACTAAAAGCCCTAGATCCCCAGCGTCAGTACATGCAAGTATCCCCAGCTTCACCCTAAACCCTAAACCCTAGAGCGCGCCGCGCCGCCCTACAGTCCAAGTCCTCCTCCCCCGTTTGGTCTAGGTTGCCCAGTAACCTAGTATGAAAAAGGGTGCCCTTTTTTTGCTTAAAGGGGTTTATAAGGGAACCTGAACCTACCAAAAAGGGAATAAGGGTACTACTGGGCATCCTAGTGGTGGAAAGTCCAAGGAGCGATCGATGAGTCGGATGAAGTCGATGGTGCGGAGCTTGTTCATCTCGAGGAGCTCATAGATAGCCACCAGTGCCTCAAGGGTTTAGGGTTTAGGGTTTAGGGTTTAGGGTTTAGGGTTTAGGGTTCAAGCACTTCACCCCTGTTGAATTTCTTTAGCAAAATTAAGATCTCAGCCACCCCTGATTGTCGGGAGTGTTCCGTGCTTGGTCCAACCCAACTTCGCCAATGCACTGCCCAAGCTGAGAATCTGAGAAATCATGCGAACATAGCCTGTCCGGAGTGTTTCGAGAACAGGTGCTCGTCAGTACAAGTAGTAACTCCATCTTTGCAAGGGTAAACTGCAAGGCTACCATGGCCACACCTTGTTTAGGGTTTAGGGTTTAGGGTTTAGGGTTTAGGGTTGAGGATTTAAGACAAAAGAATGAATCCGGGCCCACCGGCAGCGTTTGCAGTCAGCTCGCGCATGGTGTCGGGCGATGGAAGCCTTGTTTGTTTTGTTCTTTCGCTGGTTCGGTACGCCCTTCTAAGGCCACGGCGTTGATGAAATACAGAAAAGGGCATTTCCCAATACCCCTGATATAACCCCAGTCATCTTAAAATCCTTATTATAGGATTGTAATCAGATTGTAATCAGCCACCCGAACCAACAACCACTAAAGTCAGGAACCAACATCTGTTGACACAATCAAACGGCATCTTTCGAAACAGCTATTGCGCATGCTGCTTGGAGCAAAGGACGATTGAAGGTTGTCCCTAAACCCTGAACTCTACGCAGAGCCCAAACCCTAAACCCAACAACAAGCCGAAGGATGGATCGCGACAAACACAGCTCTTTGGGTAGACCAACAGCAGGTCCTGGGGCAAAGTTGGCTAACACGGGGGCGAAGAGCTGCGGGTGGCTAGCGCAGCAAACGATGGGTTCCCCTCTATACTCCCCCCCCTAGGCTCCCCTCTTCATGACCTTCATCGGGCTTATTTATCCCAACACAAACCTTGATTATGGGGGACCTAGGGGGTAGTATAGAGGGGGGCAGGAGGGGAACCCAAAGGGAAGGGAGAAGGTGTCAACAGGATGCAAAGAAACAAGGAGCTTCGGCAAGAAGCAGAGAAGGCGATGGTGCACTGGCTTAAACCTGATACTCGCGTGATGGGCTTGGAGGTTGTGTGGCGGGAGAATGCGATTCGCGGCCTGGTCCTCCTCATAAGTCTGCCAAGAGCTTCTCCGAGGACGCCGTCCTCCGCTCTATGCTTTGCCTGACTACCCCAATGCCTGGCCAAGACAGCCAAACTTGCAGCTCCAATTCGCATAGGTCCACCAAAGCCTCAAGGCAGCCAATGAGATGTCTCAAACAGCCTTTGCAGCCCTAAGCCCTAACACCTACAAGTCCTCAACCCTCCAAACTCTACGCTGCCCCTTGCCCCAGCCCTGTCAAGCCAACCGGAACCCTGAAACGCCCTAAGCTCTTAACCCTAGACCTTAAAAACCTAAGCTATATTCACCCTAAAGCCCTAAAACCCTGTCAGCTCTCCAGCCCTTATTCAACCCTACTTGGGTCGTTCTAAGTAGGGTTAGAAGTCCCCGAAGAGAAGTCAAAAGTACAATTTACCATACTTGCGACCCTACGTCGAACTACGCATGAACCTCCAAGCATAAGTTCTAAAGCCCTTGTACCCTAAAACTTGAGCCCTGAACCCTAAACCCTGAACACTGAACCCTAAACCCTAAACCCTAAACCCTATGACCCTAACCCCAAACCCTCAACCCTATGCCTTAACCTATACGCTCTGAACCCTAAACCCTATGACCCTAAACCCCAAACCCTCAACCCTATAACCTTAGAACCAAAAACCCGAAACCCCTAAACCCCTAAACCCTAAACCCTAAACCCTAACCCCTAAACCCTCAACCCTACAGCCCCTCAGAGCCCGGGCGGCTCGAGGATCTGAACCAGATCCGAGCTGTCGGGGCTGCCGCTGCGGCGCCGGGAGCCTGGCTAAGGGGGTTTAGGGTTTAGGGTTCAGGGTTTAGGGTTTAGGGGTTTGGGAGGGTTTTTTGGGGTTTAGGGTTTAAGGGTTTAGGGGTTGAGGGTTTCGGGGGATTATGGGTTTAGGGGTTGAGGGTTTCGAGGGTTTCGGGGGGTTCGGGCGTTTAGGGTTTAGGAGTTTCGGGGGTTGGGGTTTAAGGTTTAGGGGTTCGGGGGTTTAGGGTTTTTTGGGGGTTTAGGGTTTCGGGGGTTCAGGAATGAGGGGTTGAGGGGTTTAGGGAGGCTAGTGGCTCAGGGTTTGGGGGTTTTTGGGGTTTAGGGGTTTAAGGTTTATAGGGGTCAAGGTCGGAGCCAACACAAGCAAGCGAGTTCCCTATCTCCGTCTCCTTCTGTCTCCCTCGGTCTCTCTCTCCCTCTGTCTGTCTGTCTGTCTGTCTCTCTCTCTCTCTCTCTCTCTCTCTCTTTCTCCCCTCTCTCTCTCTCTCTCTCTCTTTCTCCCCTCTCTCTCTCTCTCTCTCTCTCTCGCTCTCTCTCTCTCTCTCTCTGTCCTCTCTCTCTTCTCTCTCGCGTCTCCTCTCGCTCTCTCTCTCTCTCTCTCGCTCATCTCCGCTCTTCTCTCTCACCTCTCTCTCCTCTCTCTCTCTCTCTCTCCTGGGGGGTTCCCCCCCCCCCCCCCCTCTCTCCCTCTCTCCTCCTCTCATCTCTCTCCTCTCCTCTCTCCTTCTCCCTCGCTCCCCCTCTCTCTCTCTCTCCTCGCTCTCGCTCTCGCTCTCGCTC